ATCGGAATACAAGATGTTTTTCTTTTCGAAATCCGAATAGAAAGGGTACAGGTTGTATTCGAATACAAGGTGTACGTTTTCTATTCGAGGAACTCTGCTATTAGAGAAAAGTGGACCCACACCATTTCAATTTCGAAAAAGGACTGCGGCCTCCTCGGCCTCCTATGCGCAGCTACCGGTCCTACACGGTCCTGGCCCTTGCAAGGCCCCAAAACCTCAAAATGCCCACCCTCCCGACGACCACCGACGTTGAAATTTGATTGACGTTGAAATGTCTCAGGGGGGTAAACGCAACCGTGACGGGCTGCGAACTGACCATAGATAGCAGAGATCAACGGCTAGAATCTCTTAATCCGTGCAAGTGGGACCTTGCCCCGTAGTTTGTATATGCTTGATTGATAAACTGTTAGACCACGCTAAGCGTGGTGGAGGAGAGTGTCATCGTCACCGTGTTGGACGTATTGAGACCACCACGGGTTTACATTTAGGAAATTGTGCAGAGGATCGAGACCCGATGTCTGTCACGAGATCCTGGGCAGTCGTGCGTGTTTCCTTCGTCCCCTTAGTTTATCTACGGGAACTGTCCGTCTGGGCTCCGTGGTTCTCGGTGGAGAGACGCCCGCCTACGCCTTCTTCCGTCTTTGTATTTTTTCTTACCGCGGTGCATATTTCCATGTTTTCAGGAAGTCTCATCCCTTATTTTGCAGATTTGATGAGTGGCGGCCCAAGACCTTCCGTCTTTTTTTTTTCTTTTTTTTTTGACAAGAATTCGAATGATATAAAGCCTTGGAGGCCGGTGACCTCACAATTCAACCTGGGGCCAAGTCCCACTAGCAGCGTTGAGCTACCTCAACGCCTGAATGTGGACGCTTTTGCGGAGATGTGCAGAAGTGGTGTTGAGTTTCCCGAACTGCACGTCTCCACAAACACGTCCAGATTCAGGTGTTGAGCTAGCTCAATGCCGCTAGTGGGACTTGGCCCCCGAAGTTATCCCGGCAGTCAGCCGGCTTAGCTTATGAGATTTGCAAGCACTGTAGAGCGGTATCAATATCTAAGAGAAGCTAAAGAGCCTAAGAGTACTGTCATAGAGACTCAAATGAAATGGCCAAGCTGCCCTACATAGCTTTCATATACTGAGACGAATCCATTCAAAGAGGTAGAGGAGCACAGCTCAACCCTCAAAAAAAAAAAAAAAAAAAAAAAAAACACCGAGAGTTCGGCTTTACAGAGGAAGGTCTGGTGCCCAGCTGGGGAAAGAAGAGGAAGGTCTTGAGTGGGAAGGGGAAGGAAGAGGTAGAGGTAACTAGACATGGAGGAGAATAGACCTATCAATTGGACCATTGTTATTGTACTCGACCTATGACGGTCTAGTGGAACCAAAGTTCCTTCGGATGAGAGTGGCACTCTCCCACCCACCACCGCCCGCGGTTTACTGCAACCGCCAACAGAAACCRAGTGCCCTGGTTTGAGAAAGGAAGTTACCTAAGCTTACATTCACTGTACCACAACCGAAAAAACAGTCAATAGAGGCTAACATTCCCCCTGTTAACCATCTTTATCCAACGTCACACAACAAAAGATTCTAGAGGACAAAAAGGGGGGGAGATCGGAAAAAAAAAAGAAAAAAAAAGGGGGGGGGAGGGTAAAACGTAAGTCATGAGCTCGCACCCCCTCTGATACCCCTTGATACTGCAAAAAAGACTGAGTAGCCCTTAGCGATCCATTTATTTTATTTGCAGAGGGGGGAAAAAAAAGGCCCCAACGACGGTCGGGCGCAACCAGGCGGACAGGCGCGAACGGCGACCCTTCCACAAGAAAGAAAGGCGGATCCGCCCTTTGGGCGAAAGGTAGCCAGCCGGCCAGGAACGAACCGTTTTGGGTTTTGGGGGCTTCGAGCCCCAGGGGGTAGGGAGGGGGAGAGGAAGGGGGAAAGGAAGGGGGGGGAAGGGGGAGGCAAAGCGTCGATATGCATAGATAAACGTGCACTGGCGGGATTACTTCTCTTTTTTTTCCTTTTTTTTTTTTACTTTTTCTGTCCAAGAATGAACAACGTCCGGAATCTGACCAAATGCATGTTTTTCGCTTTTTCGCTGGTGGCTTAGCTGTTTGGCTCCCGCCACCCAGGTATAGGGATCACTTTTCCATCTCAGAATGGACCCCCGTCCAAAATCGGGCCAGAGGCATTCCTTCGGTTTTTGCGCTGGTTGCTTATCTGTTTGGCTCCCACCACCTGTACTGCCATTTAACCACATACATTCAGAGTGTCCTGGGACGACGAACCGAGAAACAAAAGAGGCTGAGAAAAAAAAAATGAGAAAAAGTACGGTGGTCTCCCAAACAGGAAACACTAGACGCCGCCCGCCAGACACCTCAGACGACCTACCCAACCTACCGGTGGTCGGTGACCATCCAAGCTGTCGCACGACCGCTTAGCCTACCGGTCGTTTTTATGTTTGCGACCACACCCTTCCAGCGCCCCTGTAGATGCCCTGTAGACCCCTGTTAACGGTCCTCGACTTTCCCTGAGAAGAAAGTTGTGCTACACGACAAAAGGCAACGGGGTAAGGTGCAACCTATGGCTGCGAACACACACACACACACACACACACACACACACACACACAAAGCCTGCGCACTTTCGTAGGACTTTTCAGCCCCTGCCCCCGCCTTTGCGCGCCCTTTCCATTTGCCCCTTCTTTGCCACCATTTCGTTTTCGAGCCTGCCCACTTTAGTCGGACTTTTCAGCCCCTACCCCCAGCCCCGCGCACCCTTTTTATTTGCCCCTGCTTTGCCACTGTTTCGATTTCGACCAAAACCCATTCTGACCAAAACCCAAAGCGCGGTCCCACCAGCAGCTACCGGTCCCTCATTTTTCAAACAAACTGCCACCACCTCCCAAAGTGCCATACCTGCACCTTCCTGCATTTTTCGAGTCTTCCAACGACCAAACGACCCGTAATGAAAATAGAGGGAAGAAGAAGAGAGGCATTTGACTTACCGAGAGGGAACGGGTGCGAAAGTGAGGCAATGGGTGCATCCACCGCTGCTTTGGCCCTGTTTCAATTTTTCGACCAAAACCCGTGTGGTCTCGCAGGCAGTTACCAGTCCTGCAGTTTCAAATTAGATGCCACCACCCCCTAAACTGCCATGCCTTGTTTTTCCAGCCTTCCAACGATCGTATAATGAACGACGACAAAAAATGTTCTCAGGGGCATAAAACGTACCCCTTAACGGGCTGCGAGCACTCGCCATGTTCCCAAAAATAAAATAAAAAAGCATTCGCCACGTTGTTTGTCCTTTTCTGATTTGCTAAGTGGGTCCACTAAAGTACAAGACCAACAGGCCTACACCAAAACGACGCTAGTGGGCGAGCAGCGATAGCGCGTGAGGCGCTACTGGGGGCAAGGTCCCACGTGCGCAAATTAGGAGATTTCGGTCGTTGATCTTTGTTATCTACAGTCAGTATCTCTTAATTCGTGCAAGTGGGACCTAGCCCCGGGCCGTCACCCTGCGCCGCCAAGACGAGGAACTCAGAAAGGAGTCCCCCTCCTCCTCGACGGAGAAGGGGCTACGCCTATTGGCGGCTTTGTTACCCTGATAGCCCATAGCTGTAGAACTGGTGGGTCATACCTGGCCTTATTCTGGGGACGGAGAAGTAATTCCCTTGATCACGGTTCTGAGTTACCGAGCGAGATAGACGTTTTTGCAACAAGGAAAAAGGAGGCGAGTGATTAAAAAAAAAAAAAAAAAAAAAAAGAGGAGGTAGAGGCGTTCATAGCATAAATTTATTCTAACTCCTCGAATTTTACGAAATTTTGGCACCGCTTCCCGTAGGAAAAGTGCCTTTTCAGAATTTCTGAAAGCCAAAAAATGACTAACTCTTTCAGATTTGTAGAAATTTTGCCAGTGCTT